GGCTGGTGCAATCCGCGCTGCGACGAATGACGAACGCCTTGGCCAAGGCTAGTGTCAAGACCAAGGAGCCCAATTCCACCAAAAGTATGTGTGAAATTTCAGGATCTGCATGACACCAACCATACTAAGTGCAATACCTTGCAAAACTCCCTTTGAAATTTGACTGTGTCGGTAAATCTAATCACTGTCCCTAACATGGGCGTCACCACAATGTTTTCTGCATGGAGGGAGCATGACTTTTTACAGGTGGACAAACACTCATCAATGTAAAAAACCCTGATAAACCATTAATGGTGGAAGTGGTCAATTCCAAAGCATCTTCAAGCAGAGGCAAGCACCTCTTGTCCCTCCCTCCTTCCCGGCCCCCCGCGACACCCATAGTCCTTACCTTTCTACTGCAACCGCAACCATGCGCTCCAACTCCTCGGGCGGGAACCATAGCTGGTTGGGCGATTGACACTTCTGGCACTTCTGCTGCCAGTTCTTGGCAATGCGCTGGCCGCGCAGGTCTAGCGTCAGCCACGCCAGGTAAGTGCTCCACGAGTTATTGCAGTTGTGGCAGCCACGGCAGATGGCCCTGCCATGGACCGTCTGGAAAGCATACTGTCTAGGGATGGACCGAGGGTCAACTGGCTCTTCAAAGTCTTCCTCCATTACCGCCCTGATGATTCTTGCCATTTTTTCTCTTACTAGATGAGCTACACACAGAAGTACTATGTGCTTCCTTGCGGCCTGGATGAAAAAAAAAATACATTTTCCATTTTCGAAGTACATTGAGAAATCACTGTCTAAGGAAATGCGAGCAAATCGTAGCCGCTGCATGGTTACGTAATAAAAGCGTTAGAAGGTTTCATATCAGTTCTAGGAAGCACCTACACACGAGACCCGCGGATTTATTTTTTTAGTTTGTTAAAATACAAAAAAGGCCAACATGCTCGCTGAGGGGAATGCTGACTTTTTTCCACATGATTTTAGGGCATTTTAAAAGTTTTGTATAATGTTTGTACTATTCAGGTGTACTAGGCAGGTGTTTATAACGACACGCTGTCGCGATTAATGATTCGATGAGCATTCCTATTTAATACAGTATGCTTGAGCAGATATATCAAGTCAACCTTTTTGTACAATAAAGACTGCAATAAACCGATAACAAAATGTCTAAATTTGCAAATTTGTTAATAAAGGTACATTGGCGTTGCTAGGAATTTTCTAGGGGGCACAAAGAGGGCACCAGCATCTCATGGAGGGGGTACCAGCTTTCAGTGTTGTTTTTTTTGGGGGGGGCAGCATTTGTTAGCCTTGTTCAATATCCATTCATCCATTTTTATTTGGTGTCGGGGCACCTGAGGGGCACCGGGAATTTGTAAGGGGGGAGGGGGCACATGCTCCTGTATAGGTAACTTTAATGTCCTGAACCAATGGGAGGGGTTTACAGTGGATTTTAACAGAATTACGGTCCATTTTAACAGAATTGGTGTCGAAATGACCACAAAATACTACTGGAGAAATTTCCAAAGGTTCAACGCTGATAACAAATGCGATTGAGACCGTACAAAAGAAAATGTCGGGGGGGGGGTCCTTTCCCTGCTCTTTTGGGTTGTAGGGTTCAGACCACGGTGTTTCCCACTTAGAAACACGTTTTGTACAATTTTATACTCCATCAATTTATGAAAACAATTTGACGTCCTCTTTGGGACAAGCGCAGGTTTTCGAATATTCCATTTCTTTACACGGTATATTCCTTCTCAACTGTCCTTACTTTTCTAAAAGACAGAGGGCACTCTTGCTGTGATGTCAATCAAAAAGGAGACACTACCTGGTTTAAATGGTTGCTATCCAAATATTCAATTCCAAAATTCGCTAATTAAAAACCTTATGCAGAAAGAGTTGCTCGATTAGTTGCCATGTACTCACGCAATGATGAATCCCTTAAGAGCAGGAAAATTTAAATTAAACAACAAAATACCAAACCATTCAAACACTTTTGTTTATTTTTGCACAGATCAATGCCACAGTGACATCTCATTGCGATTTTCCCCCAATTTTTTTTTTTTTATTATTCACACGTAAAACGACCCTCATCCCCAAAGGAAAGTGCTAGTCACCATTTTCGAGGTGTCGGTGCTTTTTATTCCTGAAGAAGGCTCCATTCCTTATAAGGTAAGATATATCGAGCCCCTTGTCTGCCTCCCTCCCCCTGCTGGAAATGTGCTAATTAAAGACAGTTACATCAAATCATCAAATGACATCAAATATTAAAAACAATGAATTTCACTCGAGTATCAGACTTAGATTATTTGCCTCAAAGCCCGGATTTACTTCATTGGGGATCATCTCTGGGGAACTGCGTACGGGTACCACTAAAGCCTCTTCTGTCCGACTACAATTTCTGGGGAAATATACGACCAACGCCTTTTGTCTCTTGCTAAGCGCGTGCCATTACCCAATTTCAAACAGTTCGTGAAGCATGCAATGAATGACACTATGTATGTGCAAGTATGTACTCGTCTTGTACCCAATGCCTCTCTGCAAGACTTACTCCGTAAGATCCGACTCAGTCAGGTTGAGCCTTGCAGTAGACCGCCTTGTGAAACGCAAAGGACAAAACTGTAGGGACGAGAATGACCGTCCAGTAATTTTTACACGGCGAGATGCAAACCTTGTGATAAGGAATCGTTACGGAGTGAATTCTGCTTTTGTTGACATAAAAATACATTCAACCCATCGATTGCAACATCGTGCTCTTATCCGTCCAGGGGAATCCCCGTTTTGGTTTCTATGTTTCCGATCTTGGGAGCCGCGTGATAGACACGTGCGCGTGCGCAAGTCATGATTAATAATGTTGTACGGAGGCCAGTGTTAGCCTTTGCAAAGGTATAGTTGAGTCTCTACGGGTGCGGTGGGGGGGGGCAGCCTGCTCTGACGCCATCAATCAGCCAATCCACCCACCATGTACATAAAGATTTTATTTATTTCCTTCGCTTTTCAGAACAGATTGGACAGCAAGAAATGTTGATTCTGTGCATACACTTAGACCATGTAGCACTTGCAACCTGAAAAAAACTCCTCTTCATCGTAGCTGTAGCCCACAGCTCACTTTTGATCAGTGTGCGTATGCACTTTACAAATCTGAGTCCCACCCCCACAACTTCGTTCCCACCAGTACACGTATTTCTTTGCACCCGCGTCACTTGTCTCCCCCGGCGCCGGCCGGGCACTACCAATAAGCCGTTTGCGAGTTAAATTTACATATGATGCAAGATGTGGGGCGGAAAGAGCCCCCACCCACCTTTGTGTTGGTCATTGTTTGATCGGAATCTCAGGAATTCTTTACAGACTTCTGGGGGTGTATGTTAGTCAATAGTCTAGAGTGTGTGTAGGGATTGGACATGGGGGGGGGTACCCATCGGCCCCATCTCGTGCACGGTATCTGAATTTGAATAAAATCTGGTACACTGAGTTCTTTAAATTCACGTGAACATAACAACTTGAATTCTCCATACTAAAACCACCGTTGCTATACCTCGTGATTCGGGGCAAGCTTTTGCTTAGTTACATAAGTTAAGAGACGCCTTGCAACAATATACATGTACTGTTCTCCATGGATAAGAACGGCACTGAGGAACCAGTCCATTCCAGAGAAGGTGGTCGGTATGCAAAAGCTTGCCCCGAATCACGAGGTATATAGCAACAGTGTCTTTAGTCTGGGGAATTCAAATTATGTTTCCGAGCAATTAGCTAACACACTGAGTTTATATCAGATTGTCTTCAAATTTAACTCGCAAGTGGCAAATTGCAAAACGACTTTTTCAAATGTTTTATAAAATTAAAAAGTGTTTCAAAGCTTGTTTAAAGTAATTAATATTGAGTTCCAGTAGAATTCTTACAGAGGCATATCTACTCGAAAGTGAACATATACTTCTGCGGCTTAAGGTTGACTGCATTCACGTGCAAATGATGTAGATTAATTATGTTCACCGAATGCCAACGAGGTTTTCAAAGAAAAACGGCAGTACGGTTGCAGTGCAATGTATTGTCTGCTACTCAGTGTGTTTCATTTCCCGAGCTCTCAGGTTTGCCTGTGCTGATGTTTCAATTTGCCTGTTCTCTAGACTTGAAAACCGTTTGTTATTATAGTTTGGACGGGCCCAACTTTGATGGGACATATGAATGTCGGGGGCTCGAGCAGGACCAATTTAAAGAGTGCACGGGGCAATTTTCTTAGCAACGAAGGCTCAGGCTTTTTTGGTCCGGAAATGAACATAATTGCTGGTCCAAGAACGACTAAAAAACTACGCGTTACCATGGCGAGATAGATATGATGTCGAAAGTGTAGAACGTCAAAATCTTAGAATATTTCTTCAGAGAGGAAAAGTTATCAGTCACACTGAGGAAGAAAAATATCGAATCGTTAATCGCTGCATGAAACAAAATTCTAGAACATAAAATGTTGATTTTTAGGGTTGCAGGCCAGTAAAAAGGCAAAAACAGCAGCGCGGGCGAAATCACAATTTGCATGCACATCAAATTGTCTACGAAATAGAGCATTTTGTGGCCCATCAACTTGAGGATTTGTAGAAAAGACAGGTTTAGGACAGGAAAAAGAATACTTGTGTCTGAGTGCTTTTTGGAAATGAAGAAATCGGTGCTTGAAAACGGAAGTTTTTCGAGAAGGGTAGGCATCGATATTTCAAAATGGCGAGGGGCTTCACGACTAGCTGCTTTTTAGTGGGGGGGGTGACTTTCCATGGGAAGAATGGAAATCTGAAAAGAAAACGAACAATCATAAAATGGGCTTTAATTTGATGTGCGTCTCGAACGCAGGTATTTATCACTGTTGGCTAACGGTTACTTCTGGCGTGCAAACATGATCTCCATGCCTAGCGCCTACAACTGATTAGGATTTCCATTTTTTATAAACAGCTCCCTCTATAGATTTCACTAATTAATTGTCGGAATCCCAGACGTCTTTATTAGTACATTACATGTTTGCCTCGCAGGAGTACCAGCGGGAAACCCATCTTCGCATCTTCGAGTAACGAAACAAAGCGGTGTTGTGCATGCAATAAGGAAAACAATAATTTGAATCGTCAGCAATGGGCAAGAAACACAAGAAACATCACAAATCTGAGAAGAATCTGCCAGATGTACCAGGTGAGCCATGAAGTAAAAAAGATGAGGGCACAAATATAGGAAAAGCATGACATGCGTGAATCATGTTCTAAAGGTAGGCCTAAGACTAAGAGTAAGACTAAGTAACGTACGGTCGCGCGTAATGTTTTAGTCTACGATAAAATTTATAAACACTAGGGCAAGGCGGCCTACGCTTAGCCCAGGTTGGACGTTGTCTTCAGTTGTTTGGTCCTTTAGATTTCATTTGATTTTAAATTTTTAGTAGGCTAGGTTAATCAATGAATTTTTTAACGCCATGGCTGTTGTTATGGCAGTGGTAACGCATCTCCCATTTTCTATCGTTACGGCACTACAACTGCGCAAGCACGCCAACTTTGCACAGATTTCAGACTTAATTTCCTTTTTAAAAAATCCTCCAAAGCCTCCGATGAGAAAGGAAAAAAGATTCCTGCTTAGGCCCAGGCCTATACAATTAGAAACCAACATAAAAAATTATGTTATAAAACATAAAAAAAATAAATAAATAAAATGGTCCAAGCGCAGATTCGAACTCACACACCAGTGGTTCCAAACCTTCCACCTTGACCATACGGCCACAAGCTTTCAGCGATCCAGGCAATTTTAAAATATATAAAACATTGTGATGATCAGCTAGGTCATCGCACTTGCGCCGTTCAGTGCCGTAACGATAGAAAATGGGAGATGCGTTATGGCTGCCGTAACAATAGCCACTTCGTTTTTTTAATGACCCGACAAAAACAAACTCACCCCCCAAAAAGTGAATGTTCCCAAGTCTTGTCAGCAGTCATTTTTCAAATGACATCCCTCACCTTCCTCAGGCACTTCTGACATATTTTAAATCACATTTTTGTCTGCTTTGCCCCCAGGTGGGGCCTACATGTATGATCCCGGGCCATACTGACACAATCCCACAATTTCTTGGCCCAAACAGACCCCTCTTTTCGAAAGAATCTATAGGGGTACTTTTTATGTGCCTCGGCCTGGCTGAGAATTTTCCTTGAATTTGGACACTGCACCCTTTATGTTACGCCCCAACTACAGCATCAGTCCCAACTATAGGTGGGGAACTTTTCAACTACATGTAGAGTGCTACAGTTGGGCCGGCCCAACTACAGCGCAGAGGTCCAGTGTGCATGTGCCCAGCATGTGCCAAAGTAATATTGTTTACAACGTCATGTCAGACTCTTAGATTAAGTGCCATATTTTAGAAGAATTGTGTCAAGTGTGAGATGCATAAACTTGGATAAGGTTGAGAAATTTTCTACAGAAGTTGGTCAACAATAGTTGGGCCAGCCCAACTGCAGCACTACAGTTGGGACTGTCCCAGCTGTTGTTGGGACAAATGTCGGTCCCTTCGGCATCTTACCAACTCGGTGCTTACCAACTTGGCATCTCATCAACTTGGCACCCAGTCGGTACCTAGCCAACTTGGCACCTTGTCAACTCGGCACCTCAGATTTTGCCTCCGGTCTGCGTTGTCCAACTCGGCACCTGACTGAATTGCTCGAACCGAAGCAATTAGTTCTAATTCCATACATGTGCTTAGTTAATTTTGGTTGATTTGGAGATTGGGTAGTCCGCATGGATTATGGTAACCCAATTAGTTCAACAAAGAAATTCACAAAGAAACAAGTTTTTTACGTAAAAGGGAAGATTGAAGGAAACCCATTTATAAATTAAATCCAATTTTAATTTTAAAAAGAGAAAAAATAACCCTTGCTTTATCTTGGCAATTCTGTGAAAGCTTGTTATCGAAGTTGCCCCTGTGTCCCCGGCCCCCCTGGCAGAACAGACCTAACTCACAAGCCAAGCGGCTACTAGGCCCGACTAATACTCCTATTACTGTGTGGATACACGGCCCAGCCCGCCGTGCGTGCAACACTAGCGACTGGTCACAGCTTTTGTGAGTATTTGCGGTTCTGAAAAGAACCAGTGGTACTCGACGTTTCGAGCAGTATGCTCTGCTCGTCATCAGGAGATGAGCATACTGCTCTAAACGTCGAGTACCACTGGTTCTTTTCAGAACCGCAAATACTCACAAAAGAGATATGTCCATGGTGCTACCGCAAACCTACGTTCTATCATACCTCTTCACCATGCAAACCTTCAAGACTTATCTTTGGTCGCAGCTTATGAAAATGTCATTTGGTGGTGTGTCTAACTGCCCGAATCCTTCAAAATCCTCCGGCAATTCCTGTCATTATGTTGAGGCAGTGTAAATAACACTCTTGAGCTGTGCAGTTGATTCAAAAGTAATATCGGGCTGAATTTGTGCTTGACTAAGCAAAAACAACGTAAGGTCTAATCCACGACCTTCACGTATGGCATCTTTCGAAATCAGACATGCACTTTTGCCACACACCCTGAATCCTCCAATTCCTCCACTTCGCAGAAAACGGATTTTGGCGGATTTGGGAGGGTTAGGGTTAAAGATTCTCATTACTTGCCTCAAAGGTTTGAGGTCTCTGTTCAAATTTTAAGCATGCTAAGTGGCTTTTCTTGAACGCATCACATCAGAGTAGCCAAGAGATTCCAACTGAAGCATGGTTTAATGTGGTCATTAGTCACCAGAGATTTGAGAGCAGAACCCCCACTTAAACTTGTTCTGAAAGTCGGAGGCAAGTTGCAAGATGCAAAAACGGGGAAATTTGACATATGTGTGAGCAAGCCGGAGGGCAAGTCGCATCATGCAACCTTGGATGACCCCAGGGATCACGCGCCCAAGTCCGAGTCCCACAAGAAGAAGAAAAAGAAGAGGAAGTGGCATGATGTTCAGAACAGCAACTCAGAGCAGGAAAAGGAGGGAGTGGAGACAGAGGGCAGTCAGGAGGAGCAGCCGATGGAGACAGACGAACCTAAAGAGGACATCAAACAGTTGCTAAGCAACAAGATAAAAGTAAGTCTTGAGAGGCCAAAATCAGTCATCCTGTATTTGAACATTTCTTTTTCAAACTTAATGTTTTGCAGTGAAAAAAATCAGAGGAATAACCAAGGGGAAAATGCAATTGGTTGCAATATTGCATTCTAAAAGTATAATTCAAAGCGTAACGAGTAAAGGTAAAGCCCAAGGCACTTGTAACTTGTGCAAAGGCATAGCAACAAAGCCCAAAAAATGACTCTCCTCAACGTTTTTCTATCATTTCTTTGTGGTTATGCTGGGAATAAAGCACTAATTGCCAAGGAACATCAGTTGGACTCCCAGTCCTCTCCCCCTTTTCACTTGAGGACTGACCCTTGCCCTGAAACTAAATGGTGTAGAGCATCACATGTGCGCATTTTCTGTTTGATTCGAGGAATTTGGTTCAACCATTTGATGGATCGAAAGGTCGGACATCAACCCTCCTATGGTTTGACAGCAGGCATACATTTACATGCAGAATCGACAGTGAGGATTCTAACCACACACTAGGCATGCAGTAAAGAAAAACTTTGTTTTCCTTATGACCAGTAAGTGGAAAAGGCTTTACTCATGGCAATCTGGTCTACTTGTCTTTCGTTTTTCACCCGCAAGATGTTGAAAAAGCAACGTTGCCCTGAAGAAGAGTCTTCAGAGAAGGCTGAGGATTTGATTGAGCAGGGATCAGTGGCCAGTGAGAGGACGCCCCGCGACCAGGAACAGGAAGTGCAGCGACAGACCCCAAGCATCAGAGAGAAGGAAAATATTGGTGAGATCATCAGGATCATCAAGTTGTTGTCTTGTGGATTGTGAAAATAATGAAAATGTCTATAAAGCCGTAGACAGGCAGCCTTAGAGAGAAGGGAAGTATGGATCGAATTGAAAGAATCACAGACACACTGCTTTAACCCTCCCTGAGCGTTCCTAAAAATAATGATACAAAGTATTTATCTTGCTAATCCTAAGCTCACAGTGCATGAACATGAACAAAAAAGGTTGCACACGATGATTGAAACTGTAAGATAACAATACAAATGCAAAACTATAAATATATATACAAGAAAACAAACAAATAATTAGTTTAAGTATTAACTCAGAAAAGGAGGATCTTTAATCAAGTGTGCTTGAAACATGGACAGTAATTCAGCCACTCTAAGTTCAACTAGAGACTCGGGGGCCTGAACCCTGAAAGAGTTATCCTCGGCTGTCCTATTGGACATTGGTAGGTAGTGGTGGGTGTGATCAGAAGATGAGTGAAGTTGGTGACTGGGGGAGAACCAATCATTGAGAAGCTGTGTGAGATCAGTCCAGCATGATAGGTCTTGAGCATGCAGGATTTTGAATCTAATCTGGGGCTTCACGGGTAAGAGGTGAAGCTTTGTCAGTAGGCCAGCACAGGGTTGGTTCTGCCCACATGCAACAACTCAAACAGTTTCATTATGACGGAGTTGCAAGTGCATCTGATCAGTTTCAAGAGCCTTTAGCAAAACCCAATGATGCTGTCCTTACACTGATACTTTTAATGAGCACTGAATCCAATTTGAAGTGATGGTGGCCACATTCTACCTTCCTCAATCCAGCAAAAAATACTTAAAAACTCCCTTCCTGGCCAGTTATGAAGGACCGTCTTGGGTGACGGTTGAATGAGCCCAGGGAAACACCGAGAAGATCCAGAAAATCACAGACAACACAAGCTCATAGGTGGGGAAGAGGAAATCTAGACAAATGCTGTCACGTGGCCTCATAAGTCTACCTAAAAAGTTGAGATGAGGATGATGGTCGGCAGATCTAGAGAATTAAAGACACAAGTCAGTAGACACAAAGAAAGCATAAAACTCCAAAAGGAGACCTGATATTTTCATCATTATTTGAGTGGCTGACCAGGTAACCTGTGAATGCTTTCTTTCATATTTACAGAGGCGATGAAGGTCCCACTGAAGAAAGTTCTGGAGAGCCTCCAGAAGACCATTCAAAGGTAATCCACCTGCAGTGCAGGACTACTATGTAACGGGTTTGAAGGATTTCTCACACTCTCACCTGAAATATACTGACATAATAAACAATAACGTTATTTTTCCCCGCCTTGGTCAAAAAAAAAAAAAGATTTATGTTGCGTAGACAAGGTTCTGTTCTCTGCAGAGCAGTTGAATTATGGCATCTGGCCTCATTCCACATCTTGTTGGATAAGATAGCTTGAATTTTTTTGCCCCTCTTCGCTGCAGGAAAGACGTGGATCAGTTCTTTGCTTGGCCAGTAAATGATGTCATAGCGCCAGGCTATTCCAGCATCATTCTCCACCCGATGGACTTCAGCACCATGAAGAAGAAGATGGATGCCAGCGAGTACACAAGCATTGAGGAATATAAGGTATAGGCCCCTTCCCTCCCTCAGTGAAAAGATAAAGAGAGATGCCTCAAATAGTCAAAATCCATCAAAGGATTTTTTTTGACAGGAATTCTGTGCTTACTTGTGCAATACTGACTAAGTGTGAGTCTGCACCTGTTTGTGGCTTAGCAGAGTCGTGAAAACGCAGCCTGAAAAGTACAGTATAATAGATCTCTAGGCCTGTCTTACCAGCCAACCTGTTGACTGAATTTGACTAGCTACAGTCCTCAGTCAATATGCAATCCGACAGCGAGGGACAATACTACAAGGCAAAAGGAGTTGAAGCAGTTGGTAGTTAGCTAATCTTGATGCTTATCTTGAGATAAGAAACGGCGGAAATTGAAGCTTCATGTAAGAAATGGTTTGTGTGTGAATCCTCACAAGTGCACCTGGTGAACAGCGAAAACGAAAAGGAGGCTACTGGCGCATAATGGTGAATGGACCAGTGTGAATCAGACACTTGATTATCAATTTATAAATATGTATGGGTGAGGGTAATAGTCGCATACAATTAAGAGATAATACGGCTCTCACTCATGAATATGGATGAAGCATGATGATTTGCCACTTGCATACAGGTAAGTGAGAAATTTGGCTGTCCATTATGAATATGTATGAGGTGTGGTCGCAGTCGCTGGCATAACAAGTGAGCCTCTCTCAAGTTAACCCTGCGCGAATCCATGTCTCTTGTTTCAGTCGGACTTCTTGCTGATGTGCGAGAATGCGACCATATACAACCGTCCGGAGACCATCTACTACAAGGCTGCCAAGAGGCTGCAAGCAGTGGGGCTCAAGTGCATGAGCAAGGTAGGACTGGCCTGGCACCATTGGCTGTGTGTGGGGATGGCAGAGGGCCCTTTTTGTAGGCTCACTATTGGAAGGAATGTGGTGTGTTCATATAGCACTGGGTGTCTAGGCAAGATATGGTTACCGTTGTTTTTCTTTCACAGCTTTTGGACTGTCAAGAAAGTAACAGTGTTCATCCAGTCATCGCATATAAGCACTAATAATTGCTCTCCGAATGCTGCTTTTGCGTTACCCTTGATCATCAGGTCAAGAAAGGAATCGTAAGATGTTTTTGGCTCCTTGAGGAGTATGATGCCCATATTGCCACATTGGTGGTGTGGAAACAGCCTCACTCTGTGCTGTTGCGGGTTCCCATTTACTCTTGGGTTAATGCAACAAAGTGTCTTGTCTCAGGACACACACTGCCACCCTTTATTGGGTACAGACCAGTAAATAGACTGCCATAGACAACAGTAATAAACATCCCCACTTCAAAAAAATCAGGAGAAATACTCATGAGTTTCTGAGGTGTTCAAGACACACACTAACTTAAAGCTCACATCCTCATCTTTCATTTTCCTTTCACTCTTCAGTGAATTACCCGATGGCTTTTGAAGATTTGTCTCCAGAGAAAACCACCCCTCAAAATAGTCATGAGCCCCATCGCTATTTTTGAAAATTGATGCCTACACTCTATGGCAAAATCGAGCAATTTGGCGGGCCCTGTTTGGTCCGATACCTTCAGAAATACAAGCTGGAAGTGCTGCTCCAAGATTCTATCCTCCTTTACAAACCACCCAGTCCACATGCCACAAAATGCTCTAATAGCAGAGAATTTGACAGCCCATTTACTGGCCAGGAGCCTTAGAGATGGTCTTGTACCAGCGATCAACAGAATCACCTATGAACAGAATTACCCATGAGGTCTTACGTTCAAAGCACCAGACCACTGCATCCAGTGCCACAAATGATACACAGTTTTTCAAAAGCAGCTTTGTCGAGTATGAGCTGTGAATCTTATGAGTCTTTTTACTCTTGCCCAGGAGAAGTTGTCCAATTTGAAGCGCACCTTTGGTTACCACGAGAGCTCCGACTTCATCAAGTTTCGAACCAAGACCAGTAAGAGGTTACCCCAGATCGACATGGATGCATCAACTGAAGATTCCAGCATAATGGACGTGCTGGATTCAGAGGATAGTAACATACTGCCAACAGTCGGGTATGAATTCATCCGACAGTTTTTCTTGAGGTTTGAGAAGGTTCCACGGAAATCTAATAAACAGGGGTGCATTAAAGCTTTGCCAGGCTTTACCAGAAGAAAAGATCAGGTACTTTTCCAGATGGGATTTTAAACTTACAACTCAGGAGATGGTTCCAAAATCCAGGGAAGTCAAGGGAGTTCTTTGAACAAGGCCTTTGCCAACCGCTGGTGAAATTTGTGAGCAGTGCTTGCTTGGTGCTTTCTGATAAACAGCGCAGCAAGACACCAACCCAAGGCCTTGTCCACTTTTGCAGAGATCTTTAACCACTGGAACTGGCCTAGGTTCACCTGACCAGCTCAGTTATGAAACAGTAATGAGTCACTACCATATCATGAGGCCAATATTGTTTGCTTTTAAATGGTGTTTACATTCAGTGAACTCAATTTGAACAGGTCGGGAAGTGTTGCTGATGGCAATGAGGAGGAGTCCGCCGAAGAGATCATCGAGCAAGCAATGCAAGCCGCAAAAGAGGCCAGAGATCGTCTGTCGGCCAGGTGCCCCAACTCAAAGGTATGGATCAGGGGAGGATGCACAGTAAACTACAGGTCAAGTCTACGACATCCGTCAGGCATGATAAAGGCTCTGGCAGCTAAGCAAAGCATAAACTCAGCACCACATGACTGGATGCCTTTTTCTAAAAATTTGAAGGGCCACGTTTAAAACCTTCTTTTCGCTGAGTGTTCCAATCTCATTCATCTCGTCGCAACCTTGTTTCAGCTGGGCTTCCTGAGGCGGGATAAGACAGGCACCACCACCCTGGCCGTCCTGAACCCCAGCCTGGCCGGAGCGGAGGAGAGCAAACAGGTCAACCTGGGCATGCTGACAGGGAGGCTGACCCAGGGCTCGGGCACGCTGCCAGGGTTCAGGGAGGATAAGCGCAACAAGGCCGTGCCAGGTGACTCACAGTTTGAGCTGCCGTGCTAATGCAATGCCCCTCCCCCCATCAGCACATGAATTCACTCGTGGCCCTTGACAATATTCAATTGTTTGCCCAAATCAGTACAAACCAGTTAAAGATGAACTGTGCAGTGTGTGAATAACAATTAGTTTGCATACATGACGAGTTGCCCCAGTGTCTTTGCTAGGTAGCAAAGCGCCATCTTTTATTCACATGCAGTCTTTGCCGACAAATCTGTTCAGTTTACCCACTAGTTCATCTTCATACCAACTTCTCTCCCCCCATCAAGTCACACGAGTTGGCTTTGTTTTCCTTGACTGTGTTCATGATTTTGTTCTGCCCATTTCCTCAGTGACCTACATGACCCATGGGCCGTTCAGCTCCTACGGTCCCCAGTACGATTCGTCGTTTGCCAACATCAGTAAAGAGGACTCTGACCTGTTGTATTCAACCTATGGAGATGAGACTGGCGTGCAGTATGCTCAAAGGTACAACTTGTTCAGGTTTGCTTGCACTTTGCTGGCTAAGCCGTGTCAAATTCAACTGGCTGAGGCTACGAGTAGCACACACCGCTGTGGGAAGTGGCTACAAATGCTAGTCATTGGCTGCCATGGGAGTTAGTCATTTTAAGCTGCAGCCATGACTTTCGGCTATTGCTTGAGATCCTCAGCCTTTAAGTTTTTTAACTGTGGGCCAATGTAGTGGAACTGTCTAAGGATGTTACTGGCTGGCTGAGCTTTGAGATTTACATGTCTGGTGACTGTTCTTGTTTAAAGTTTTGCTTAGCTTAGCAGCCCCGACAAAAAATTGGGCTCGGACTCAAAAGTCGATGCTGATCTTTTTTGGCATGATTACAGTCTTTCAAGTTGGGATGAAAAAGTAAACGTCATTGATATTTGCCGTGTTTTTGTGGAGCCTATTATGAGTCTAGCAGGATGAACAAAGACAAAGGAATACTTTACCTTGTGTCTTGGCTTAAGACTTAGTGACTTGTGATGGACTTGTGATGAGACATGTAGGGACATGATGGACTCTACCGCAACACTGAATGTTCTAATTTAACTTTAATTTGGAAATACAGGGACAGGGCCATGTTAAGTCAAGAATTGAAAGTGTATTTCATACCACCAAAACAATTTGTGCCTCAACTACAAAGAATATACTGTTTGTCCTTTTTTTTTCCCAGCATAAGGGAATATGTTGAAGACTGCGATGACTATGTGCTGAAGCTTGTTGACAACCTGCTCAATACGCTGACTAAAGGCCAACATACCAAGACCATGGCTGTATTACAGGTAAGTCCGAATCCCGAAGGAGACCAGAGCATGTGGCTCAAAACGTCGATCCCAGACCACCGGTTTTTCACAGAACCGCACAACAAGAGGTTTTTGGCCACACAGTGTCAGACCTTACCAATTTACAAATCCATCACGCAAAGGTTCAAGTCTTATCTAATTGTGAGTCTTGCACTTCACAATCGGTGCTTTGACAGTGTGTTACCACTGTGTGGCTGTTTCTTTACTGGATTGAAATATGAAATGGGACCTCAGTGTTATTGTATGACAGGGGATTGAACCACACTGCATCAGTCAGTAGGCTTCTTTTGCATGATTTTTTGAAAGAACTAACCAAAAACAAAGCCTTGCTCACAGAATTCTGAAACTGATTGTTGTGAGTATTTGTATAAGCCTAGATGTCATGTACACTGAGAGTTGGAAAAATAATGCCTTTCCTTACGTGGCTTTTGTCATGTTTACAAACTAGAAGAAGCGTGGTGACAAGGAATCAGAGAATGCAAACCGCTCAGATGGCCAGAGCACTTCAGGCAGTGGTACCAGTGAGACGGCCGGTTCCCAAGATGTGGTCAAGAAGGAAAATAAGGGGGTCTCATCCCCCATCCCGTTTGACTCTCTGCGGACTCTTTCGGACCTGGGCATCGACGTGTCATTTCTCCCAGCATTCGGTGAGTTGTACCCTTTGATATTGTGACCGGATACTACCAAAAATGAGCCTTTTTTCAGTAATTTGGTCGAAGTTTGTATTCGAAAGACCAAACGGAACTCTTTGATGTGTCACTCGGTTCAGCATCTTGATGAAAACGGAAAAGGCATGGATGAAAATTTGAGGATTCCTATCGACATCGGGCAAGATTCTACGCATTAACCCTAAAAGATTGTCCCCCCCGATATTTTTTCTGATATCATCGTAGTGCATTTTTTTCAGGAGTTGCACCTCTTGGCAGTCATTTTGACACCAGTTTCGCAAAAATCAAAGATACCATTCTCATGCAGCGTGCATTTTTCCGAGACGAGTCAGCCAAAAATGTAAAAATAACTCGGCTTTTTCATGAGTGCACAAAAAGTAGACTTTTGACCACCCCAAGTGTACATCAACGGGCAAAAAATGATGATGGACAGAGAGCTCCATTGGTCAAATCGCCAATTGCCAAGGCACAATGATAAACAAGTAAGTACTGTGGTTAACAGAAAGGAAAATTTCAAATAAAACGTTTAAAACAACACCTGAAAAGTCAAGTTTTGAAAAGTAGTGAATACTGATACAAGTAGAGGACAGAACAGAACTTGTGTATGTGGCGTAAAGGAAGCGGCGCGGAGCTGGCTAGCTACACCAGCAAAATTTGAAAGTGACCGCTGATTCACAAGGTGACGGATCATCGTTTTTCATATTCAGAAAAAGTGTACATGATGTTAAAAACCCCCCACAGGTTGTATGCTTGTAGAAATGATGAAAATTATGGACAGCCCCTTAAGGTTAAAGGCCTTTAATTAAAAAATGACTTGTGTGACTTAGTTTGTTAGCGTGGGTCACATACATGTGAAGTAATGGAGTTGATGTGGGCACATAACACCCTAGGCTTTGCATTGTGCACGGCCACAAGACATGTATGGAAAAATCTCGGTGGAAGTAAAGTAAATATGAATGTACGGGAGACTCATCTCTCTCTGTACTGCAATATTTGGTGTTAAGAAGCAAAGAAAGGTTCAGTAAGTGATAACCAGCCATCACTGAAAAATTTTGTGGTGTTACTGGTTCAAGAATACACGCATGTGTGTCTCTGAAGAGTTCACGTATGTTTCTCTTGTATATTATAATGCCGTGCAGAAAAACTCCTCGGCAGCGATTCCTATGCAGCAGCAGCCAGCGACTCGGCCGAAATTGACAGCAAGCTGAAGAGCACCAGCGAGCTGATCAGCGACCTGGAGAAGACGCAGTCGGCGCGGCTCAGCCAGAAGCCCCCCAGCCACCTCCAGTTCATCCCCAAGCCCTCGGAGCAGGAGAGCAGCATCGCCGAGAAGCTGACCCAGCAGTTACTCCAGCTGACCTCCAAGGTATTCGCTCGAGGAGGGCGAGGCCTGCGTTTGCTCTGTACCACTTCGTGCTGGTGGACTCGTACAAATGGAGGAATTACATGTGTTGCAACCCGGGGGACTGTCCTTGGGAAATAATCTGGAAAATCCTTTATATTATTGTTTCAATTTCATTTTTTATAAATGGTCGTATATAATTGCTTGCATTTTTTAATCCAGTTCTACTTTCCATTTCCACGGTTGCACAAAGTAGACATGCTCTCTCTTGGATTTTATTGTCACCAGATCAAACCCTCAGATGTAGTGTCTACCGAAGCAGCCAGGGCAGCCATGGGCATCACAGCTGATATCCAAGGCGATTTAGTCGATGAAGTACAGGTACTAGACAAAGCCGACTCACCTCAGCCCTTGGATGTTCAGGAGCACACCATCGTATGATGACTGTCCCGCATAAGTTGATTTAGATGGCCTTCCCATTGGACTGTTGTCTATAGAAACCACAGTGATGACTGTCTGAATGTTTCAAGTCTGCTTGGATCTGTCACAACCGGAGATTGTCCCCAGGGGAGAGTGGCCACTGAGAGCTTTGTGCACAAATGACAGAGGACGCTGTTTAAACACATTCATAGCACATTAGCATTTCTATTCATTTGGTCTACGTGCACTGCCCAACAGTGTGAGCCAGTCAGGCTGATTCCCTACCTCTCCGTATAGACTTTAGAAGGAGGGGGGGTTGGGAACTAAGTCTGCTTGGAAAGTGCCCACCTCGCTGGTTCCTGTGCGCTTTTGTCACCTTTAGGTCATTGAATACCAGGGAAGTGACCTCTATCAGGGTTGCTTCCCTAAATCAACCTGAGGCTTCATTCATATGAACTTCACCCACACAGTTAACACCTGTAAGCTGAGCACAGCTTTTTCCACTGTGAAGACATCCACTTCAGGCTACCACTGCAAAGAGTCAATGAGACGGTACTGCTCCATTGTTAGGTCTTACCGAGTGAAGATATACTCACCTGTCTCCATGTACGGGTTGTAACCACAGACTTCATGCAGGAATGACTCGTGACCATTTTTCAAAATCCGACTTCTAAATGATAGCATCAGGTTCAGCATCAGTATTGAATGTGAGCTTTAGAAGATGTTCTTTCCAGAAACTGGTTTTTTTTAATATGATAAAACAGGCCTACATTTACTGATGGAATGAAAGAATGTTGTCCGTCGTCCTTTTGTTTGTGGTCGTATATCTCCGAAGAAATTCCAGTGGTTTATCTTGCGAGGGATAGACACAAAGTCCACAGTTTGACGCAAACGATACGCCTCCTACACTTAGAATGGTTGTTTTTGAGATGGTGTATCAGACAAACTTGGTATCAGGGGAGTTTTGGGATGCCAATTGGAGGTGTTTCCCTTGTCTCTCAAGCTTGGGGGCTTGGGTTCAAATCTCGCACTGCCTTGTCCCTGATTCTGTGTATTTCCCTGAATCAGTGCTCACTTTTGTGCCCTACCTGTTAAATTGAATATTAAATGTCAGTCCTCGGGCATTCAAGCTTAAGTGGGTGTGAACTTGAACAAGGAATAAGTTGTTCGGCAAAGAGTTAAAATTCAGATTATCATTTATTTGACCTCGACAAAACAACAGTGAAATTAAGACAAATACACATGTAAATAAATGTTAACACACTTTTAAAAAATAAAATAATAGTAACACTTAGGAGGTAGGGGGCAGCAGTTTAAATGAAATTTGAAATTAAGGCTTCCCTTTGAAGACAGCAACGAAGAACGACACGAAAACACAATGAAAAATGAGTACGTGGGTCAGGGACTGCAAAAGCGAAACTACTCACTTGCTCAGAAGCATGATTGAAGATTGATTTGAGAATGAGGTTTGTATTTCAGGATTTCACAGTTTTTGATGACATCCTCTCCCCTTTAGCTGAAAAATGTTGGGTTGTAACCAGTTAGGTCATAAAGTTTAATACCTGACACTACCAAAAATATGGACGTTTGAACAGTAGTATCGCTGGGGGAATCTAAAAACATAACACTGCATATATTATTATTTTACTCATGCCAACAATGTACATCACAGAGGGATGGGCATTGGAAAGACAAAAGGAATAAAATCACTGTGGTCAAAAGACTTGTCTCCCCACATCCAGTTGCGAGATAAAAAATATTTTTAAAATATACATTAATGTATACATTTGTAAATGCAAATACATTATATGTACATAAATGGGCAAAAAAGACCCTGACATTTAAGAATTGCTAAAAACGACACTAATTATTTACCCTGTCAAGTACCTCTCACCTTTCAAGTACACATTAATACATGGGCTATAATAATTTGGTTTGGTCTGCATTTCACAAGCTAACGCTGACACAAATCATTTAGTGTGTTTGAGGGCCAGCCCCACCTGATTGACTGATCATGCCCCACCTGGCCCTTCCCCCAGTGAGGTGCTCATGTCCACTGCCCCCCACCTCACATCTGTAAGACTATCGACCAGGTCAGATGTCGACTCTGAAACAGGAAACCTCTGATGAATGGCATAAGGTGAAGGGTCTTCCTGGCCTATGCCCCATTGTAGTCTTCATCATTAAATTGTGTTGGTGTTTTTTTAATAGCTGTTGCTAGTTTTAGCATTGATTGGAATTTTTAAATATTTCAATTGAGTGGGAGTAAAAAATAAGCACCTCTAATTTTGACTAATCATTTGGACACTGAAGATTACCTTAGCATACATCAACACAGAACCAAACATTAATGCTGCTTATCTTCTGAAATTTTGAAAACCTGAGTACTTAAAGGAAAACTCGAGTTTGTTTATGAACTGCTATTTGTGCTTTGAAGTATATTCCAATTAAAACATTGCTACATGAAAATGTCATCTTTACACCTCTAGTGATAGAAATGAAATGAAATCAAAATTGTTAGATACTCCCCCCCCCCATCATTGGCTCCTCCCCCAGCTTTTGTTGTACAAGTGTGACCGTAATATCCGTTTTGTGTCCAGCTCCACTTACACGAATGTTGCACAGAGGACCTTGCCTTGAACCTCAAACTTAGTGACCCTCCATCCACCCCTCTACACACATAACCTGCAGCTTCCACCAAACACCAAGGTTGACCAGTACTAATTTGAGAAGAGATATTTTACCAGGCTAGACGGTGTCCTTCCAAACACTTTTGCCACTGCAAATACTCGGGCAGCGGAATAATCTGAGACAATACTTTGATATTCATTTGATACCAGCCCTTCCAACGAAAAGAATCGTAGACAACGATTTATACAAATGATTCTACTTCACAAAAGCCGAGTGTTTTGCATGTTGGCAGCTGCGTGTTGGAAGCCAACATGCCCATTTTGATGTAATTTGTTAGTCTTGTCACAATACTGATAAAGGGGAAAAAGAGAGGTAATTAGACTGACTGTTAATTAATCTGTTAAAAAAATACATCAGTGGAAAAAGCAGGAATGATTCAAATTTAAAGCATATTTCAACTGAAGTTCCATTTAATTACCTTTTTCTTAACAGTATTGTATTTGTGTAAAAGGAACAAAAAAAGTATCTTAACAGTTTAAAAAGACCAAATACTTAGTGATGGAAAAATAAATAAATTAATTAATGTTGTCTAAAACCATTAAAAAATCTGTATACATGGCCCATAAAACTGCACCAAAGTTACATTAAAATACAGCAATGAATCCCAAAATATAACTGTATTAATTGCAAACTAACCAGAAGTATCACATGCATCGTGAAATAACTACATCAAAAAATGGATGTTTCACATTTACATGTTTTCTTTGGATATGAATCTGAACAGTATGATCACCATCTCAATGGTATTAAATTGAACTTGCAGCAACACAAACGACCACGCACAGTACGCGCCAAATTAAGTGCTGGATTTGCACTTTGTACTTGTCGGTTTTATGTACCGACTTGTGAGAAGTCTAGCAAGTAGCATTTAACCAGCAAAGAGTCCCGTGCTCGTAATTGTACCATTCGTGTATTGAATGATACAAGTACAGTTAATAATTTTTTTCAGCTACGTTTTGTAAGCAACAACGATTTGTAGAGGCAATCAAAGCGTATGCAGGCATTTTGGAAAGTTGAAAGATGTTTACACCTTTCTCCATGTTTATATTATACAAAGAAAAAAATTGTGCGCCTGCTGTTTGTCCCATAGTAGTTCAGCAAATAACCTCGAGGCTCGAGCTTCGTGGGAATACAACACGCGCACCTCGTGATCCAATGCATATGTATGAATCCAAGTCGGCCGTCTTATATGTCAGCTTGAAAATTGTAAGGGCGACAAGCGCAACCGGCGGCCATCTTGGATGTTTTGTAGGCTGAATGTTTGTGATGGAATTTTCGTAACGGTATCGTTGAATTCAAATGCTCCGACTTTTTTGCCCGATCGGAGTAAAGTTCAAACACGGAGGCAATCTACATATTACTGCAATTTTTTTGCAGTTACTTGATTTTTGTATGACTTCACATTAGAATAGAAAAGGAGGTGATGAACTGAATGAAAGGTGTTTGTTTGCGTGCTTATACACGTACGCTACTAAAGGCCTCGGCCTACAGTTAACTTGTACCGGTAAAACCGATACGACAGCGGAGTGAAGTCGTGTAGCGTCAGAGACCTACAATGCACGAGCTGCTTGAGAACGGTTGGTGGCTCTTGAAGTTTAACTGCACAAGTATACAGTTATTGCTAGTTTGTGACTGAACATGGATACGACAGTGTAAGAAAGAATATGTAAGTACACGTAGCATGTACATCATGATGTAGGCCCAAGCTACACCTATTCATTAGCCTTATTTTTATTGAACGTTTTTCAACATGATGGTTAGTCTCTCTAGAACTACTAGTAGAGGCACAGATCACAACTCGGGGACTGTCCCTGGATTTGGAGAATTCCCTTTATTTGGGGACAACACTAGTCCCTCAAAATACAGAATGTTCCCAAAGGCCTAAGAGGGGACATTTTTTCCCAAAAATATCCATGCACTAGTATATTTAGGTCTCTCGGCGTATCATTTTTTTTCTCTCACATTTTTCATCCATTTAAGATATTCAAATTGTCTTTTATAATTATAAACTTTGCGCCCTGCCACTTGATTAAGTATATGTGAAGGATTGATATTTGGAAAAATTGTTCTGATATAGTCTTTTTCCCACCCTTTATGCTAAATTGGATACTTTTGCTCGTAATCCTAGACGTAAACGGCAGAATTTTTTTTTTTGAATGGCAGCCTTGGGTGTTTTTTCTGCTGAATCTAATTGTGGCAATAAATGAATCCCCTGGGCAACAGTAGGATCTCCAAGCCCTCTTGAAAAAAAAATTGTCCCCATTTTGGGGGAAATTCTCTGTTTTGGGGGATGGATTTTGTTCCAAAATAAAGGGACTTCTCCATATTCAGGGACAGTCCCTGAGTTGTGATCTGCGCCTCTACTGTCTACTTTAGTCTGTGTATTTTAATTTTATGAGTAGTGTTGTCAACAATTATGCCTACCATGACCATGGCTACACCCCCAGAATTGTGGGTTCATGGTCAGCGTGGCAGACGACAGACTTCACCATGCCCACAGTTCTGGGGGTAGTCAACAATGACAACCAGCATGACAAGTTCAAATTTTTCTTCATCAAGTTCATGTCCTTATTTTGGCACCAAAACCTACATGTATGGATGTGATTTAAATAGCCCTAAGCCATTGAAGCCCACAAACACAACACATCATGCACATGTTGTTTTTTTTTCATGCGGTCCTTAGAATTTTGTGTATTCCAGGGTTGGGGATTTTCTGGGATTTTTGTGTAAAAATGGGATTTTCGATTTGAGTCAGATTTCTCTGATTATTATAAACGTTGGAGTCCAGCAGACTTATTTATAAGAGCACCTTATTGGTTCAAAAGCAAGCAAATTCTGTATGTGTTGTAGTGTCTTTAATTTATTTTGTTTGTTACAAAATTTAACAAATTTAAATTTAAATTAAGAACTTGATTCAAGTAAGTTTGATTCATATTACAAACCACCAGTTAAATATTTTCTTAAGCCAAGGAGAAATGCATGCAGTATAGCACCTACATGTACATGTACCCTCAAAGAACGGTATGTGTAAAGAATCAGGTTTTAAAGTGGACTTGAGATTTGACAAAACTACAGTTTGTTTATAAGGAATTCTTACCTACCTTGTGAAAGTGCCATCAATCACAGCGTACGATAAATCAATATTTACATGTATTTTACATGCTACATGTACATGTAGACCTTGTATTTTACCTCACTCGAATGTGATCCAGCTCCTTAGTGATTTATAAGAGTTGTGACTCTGACTCGACTAGAATTCACTTTGCTGACATTTTGTCACTATTGTTAGTTTCTCTGCGTAATGACCAACATTTCTAATCCCACTGAAATACATGCTTACTTGTTAAGATAAAAGGTTGATCTATGATGATAATTTCGGGGCCGTTCAAAATTGTCAATGTTTTTAAATTTCTTTTTTTTTTTTCAAATTTTTTGACCCACCCACCAACCCAACCCACATGTGTGTCCAATTGTGTTGAACCCTGATTGTACATGTCATGAAACTCAGTTGGGTTACATACTGTAGTTTAGGAAAGGCAAAGGATCTTTTTTGTGTTTGTTGATGTTTTTTAAATCAAAAATGATTTTCAATTTTCGATTATTTTCCTTGACCAACCCACCATTTTGAAAAAAATTGAAATTTGAAAACTTAGAAAATCTTAAATGGCCCCTTACCTTCTTGAACTCAGCAGTGGACACTTTTGAAATGAAGTGAAAGTAAATCGTGATTTTAAATGCATCACATGTGTAAGTAATTCATGTGCCAAATTCAAATACATGCAGCTGGTTTAAATCAAACACTTGGCTTGAGTTGAACAAAAAAATCCTGTCCACCAAGATAGTGTGCAACACATGCATTTATACTTCTTGAGTTCAACATTTTGAGCTTTTTCCCAGCAACATTATTGATTTAAATCAGTGATTTTCAAAAAAATCCTTTGATTTAAATTGCAATTTAAATCAGTGATGTAAATCAAGGTCAAACACTTTAATCGGCCAAGCCATGTACATGTACATTCTGACCGTAGTGTTAGGGGATCCTGAAATGGTAATAGTTATTGCATAAATTCCTTTTAAGTCTTTGCTATTTGTTTTTGCTTTGACACAAAAAAGGAAATCTTTGATTTCTCGAGGGGACAAATGCTAGATTCATGGGTTGAGTTTGCTGAGAAAAACAGTGTCTACATTTTATTGCTCAGCCAATTAAAAATCTTTGTTAGTTGAAATTTGGATTCTGTGTGCACAGTTGGCCCATGACGGCATTGTAGCAAGCTTTGGTAGACCAAACACTCCACACTCTTATTATGAACGTGGTTTTTTCTTCCAGGGCAGTTCCTACTTCCAATCTGCTCACTCACGCCTGCATGTGTGTACTTCAGTCTTAACCCAGTCAAAATCTACAAGTGGCGCAAGTGTTTACGCAGCTGAGATTCCTGATACCTACAGCAGGTCTTCTCTTGACTGCAGTCGGTCAATTGCTGTCGTCTGACTCAGCGACTGCACAAGCAAAATTCAGATTCTGCCAAAGTCGCAGGCCAATTCCCGTGTAGAAAGTACAGGGAAGCGATAAGGAACATGGCTCCACTCATTACACGTAGCTGTGATTTTGTGTTCAAAGTGTGCCTGCTTCTGTGGTTGTCTTACTCAGGTAAGGACATTTTATTTTTTCTTGTCGCCAATGGTGTATGTTCAAAACCGTTCATGCTGTTGATTAGCCTGGAAGAGAAGGCTACTTAATGACGTCAGCAGTGGCAATATCATCTGCTGTGACTTTAAAAAGTTTCACTTTTCCTAGACCACGTGTAAGTTGTTTGCAAACAAGGCGTTTTGGTCACATGGCACTGACCTGCTGTAGTTTTTGGAATATGAGCCGTATCTTATACATTGATTCTCACACTGAAAAACACATGTACATGTATCTCTGTGGTTTATACGCCGGGTGGCTTATACGGCAAACTTTAAAGGCTAAAATCAATCACAAAAGCCACACCTGGGCCACGCGTACCGTATGCTGGTGACGCAGTCATGTTTTTCGTTGGTTCCTGTTTACATACACGTAACTGGAACCTTGGTGAATGGATAGAAATTTGAGTTGTTCGGATTTCGAGTTACCAAATTCAATTCCCCAAGTCAAACTTTACTTGCTCTGCCGTGATGGCAATGTTTTAGTGATTATTTTCCCACTTTTTATTCATTCTCATGGTGTATTTTTTGCACACAAATGATCATTTTACTGAGATCTTTTTACTGTTGTTACTCCAAGATGTCTTTCTACCACTAAATAAAAGTCAACCGCTTAAATAGTATTTGTTATACCTTCGTGTAGCAAATCTCGTCTTTTCGCCCATCGTTTCGGCGTGATATGCCACAGAATTTTGGGCTTGTATTCACTTGGGCTGTCTGATGACATCACTTTCTGTGGTCACGTGGCTATCGGAAAGTGATGTCATCATGCCACAGAATTTTAGGCATGTATTCGCTTGGGCTGTCTGATGACATCACTTTCTGTGGTCACATGGCTATCGGAAAGTATCAGTGATTGGACTGTCCATTAATGGGGTCTGTGGTAGCAGTGAGGATAGCTTGAAAGCAGGATTTGTTGCGGTCGGTGTGGGGTGGTGTGTGTAGTGCATATGCCGTGCAGCGTGCATGCAACACAGGCGGTCGCACTTGGCAGTGATGACTCAAACCAAGGTCTTGCAGCAGTCCTTTACCTTCTATTCTTGACGAGATTTAGCAGTTTTCTTTAATTGGCATCACAAAAACTTTGAGATAATCGGATGTAGTGTTGTGAATATTTGGAGTTCTACATGTAGTGGTATTTTTGTACATCAAATCATTCTTGTAGCGAGATGCCTGTGAGATAAAATGGTCTGATCAAGATTTTTATCAAGGTTCTATTGTACATGCATAACTTTTGCTGGCTGCTTGCTGCTCGGCCCATGCAGGACAGTCACCCAGCCCGCAAAAATGATTAATTTTGAGGACTTTGAAAATTCATTTTTAATGATGGCACTCATTTGCACTCTGCTTAGATTTATTAGAATTTCATGTGTGGTGGAACCATTAACATACTGACTCCACATGTTGTACTGGCATTTCAGCATGCAGCACGATGACCTTCATGGTTGGATCATCAGAGCTGCGATGCGGCTTATACGCCAGTGCGGCTTATTCGCCGACTTTAAATCTGAACTTGCCGATTTTTATACACAGTGAAACAGACATGTCAAGGCCAGTTTTTTCACTGTGTAAAATGTCATACGTGTAGAGCACATTTTATTGCTTGTCTGGTTTTCAGTATCATTTCCTAAAGGTAGCCATTCTTTTCTAAGCAACAATATTTATTCCCGGAATTTTTTTCAACATCTTGGTGAATTCTTTCACTTGGATTCCAGCGGAGTTCTCAGTTTTCTCAAGTAAAAAGAATTTCTCGTGTGTTTGTTTGATACTGCTCTGTTTATCTGTTCCTGAATATTGAGAAAGGTTCCGACCCCAAATGCTGCTGGAGTTCAGGTTAAAGATAAGGTTATATAACAGACTACACTGTACATGTACGTGTACTTCTGATTTGTTCTTTTTGTCCTTTTCAGCGGTATTGCTGAGAAGCGTTACAGGAGCTAGTGTCAATTTCCCCTTGTCCCGAGTGTCGTGCTTCGAGTACGACTCACAGAAGTGTTCGGGCAATGACAGCCGATGCAGCACTGTCCAAGACTGTGACATAGAGTTCGGCTACGCCGACCTGGACCTGGAGTTGATGGAGACGAACAAGTGCTTCATCCTGTGGCAGAACACCTCAGCCGGGCTGGAGGTGATCATGAAGGGCTGCTGGCAGAGCAGCTTCAGCAACGACTGCGTGGAGGAAGACCGCTGCGTCTCGCACGAGACATATGCTGACGGCGAGAATCGCTACTTCTGCTGCTGCTCGGGCGACCTGTGCAACCACCAGTTCTACCATGACCCACAGCCCAAGCCAACCTCCTCGGAACATCCATGTGAGTAGTCACCCTTTTACTTCAGCCAGGGCTAGAAGTACCCACTGGACCAGTGGACTGAGGCCAGCAATTTGAATTTGCGGCATCTATACCAATACATCCCCAGCAGTCTGGTGGTTTTTTTTATCAACAAAAACGTAAACATCTTTTTGACATTCAGCACTCTGAAAGATATTGTTAAAGGTGCTTGATGAATGCCCTTTATTATTATTATTATAAAGTAATTGTTTATAATCACTTTTGGTAGTCCGTCTGTTTGCCTCCTAATGTGTGGCAGTCCAGTGAAGTTTATAAGTACTAACATGTACATGTACACTTACATGTACATGTACATGAAGCTCTACATACATGTACATTCACAGAGTGATCAATTGCTTTCAATACATTGACATGAAGTTAACCCTACAGTAACCCTGTAGCAGACATAGCAAAGTGCAACAGGTGTAAAAGCCTGGTGCATTTTGTTGCACCGGGCAATCAACAGCAGCCGAACAAACTGCCCATGTTGAGTCAGTGGGAGCTGGTCCCATTGAACGATGCCGCCATTGGACCCTCTGGTGGCCGGTAACCGCCAGCTTTGAGGCCGTTGGGCCCCAGGGATAGCTAATGCATTGGATCTCGTTGCACTGGGCAGACAAGCTGCTTTGACAAAATATGCAGACAAATGCATCAGGCACACAGGCAGGTTTCCAGCCAAAATACCCTGGAGGGTTAGGGCTAAGGCAGTACTTTCCTTTTCTATACTTTACCCTGGATCAGCTTTTTACATTGAAATGGGTTGTTAATATCACATTACAGTGTACCTTTCATGCCACCAGGTATATCTTCCCATCAACGGCCACACTGAGCTAAACTGCCTATGCAGGGGGCGACGGTCGAAGCCACAGTGTGTGTCATGATTACAGAGGGGAGGGAATGGTTAAAAAGTCAACATTTTATGCGTATGCACTCGTACTGTTCACGGTCCCATAGCCTATGTCAAGGTTACTTTCTGTCTGAATTTTCTCTCTCTGTAATCCAACGCAGCCGTATGAGCCACTTCCTTTCTTT